AAAATCAATTTCATTAATAAATATATTTTATGGTATATGAGTACTAATAATTTATAAAAACAGTTTTTAAAAAGCAGGATATACTTTATTTATTCTTAAATAATTTATAGTATCAGATATATAAGCTTAGAATTTTATTATCTTTAAATGCTTTTACATAAAAATCAATACAGCAAAATAGTAAAAAGAGAAAATGTAAATGATTGAATAAAAAAATATGCAAATTTATTATAAATCATATAAAGATATAGAATTCATCAATATTATAGGCAGATATATATGTAATAACAACATTCTTGATGCTATAAACTATATTTTTTATTGCATGAAAATGTTACTGTTTTCGTATATTATATGTTAAAAGCATAACAAATGACTTAATTAAACAAGCAGGATATCCTTTAACATTCTTCAGTCTTTCATATGTAAACTTATCACATATTTTTGAATTCAACATTACTCAGCAACATCTATTCATACTTAATTAGGTCCCATTTGGCTTATATATCCAAATAAGCTTTCTTGGAAGTATTTATATGCAATGAGATGATGAGACTAATAATATTTATATTTATTATTAGAAAACGCTGTGTAGGTAAATTTTAGTGACAAAGCAATCCATATGAACTATTTTGAGTGCAAATAAACTATTATATAACTTAAATAATACATAGTAGTCATTATTAATTTTTATTAAACATTAGAGATATTTGTTCATATAGTAAAGACAGCCATTAAATAAAAGTGCTATTAATCATCTTAATGTAGTGATTAAATATTGTTATTAAAAAATGAATACGTAAGCTTAAAATATATTTAAAAATCTTATCGTATCATTGCTACTTGCATGTAAAATGTTATTATGTTCTATCACATATGCAATAAAAGTTTCATATTTCTGTCATGCAAAACTGCCGATATATGGAAGAGAGAGAAGAAAATGTAAAAAGATTAAAATTAGTAAGAAAATATATAATAAAATGTGATGCATCTTTTTTTAAACTTCTGTCAGAGACAAGCCTTAGAGTGGACATTCGGCTATTATTAGCGCACCAATATCTATTTTAGCCATATGGAAACAGTTTCGCAAAATAGATGTGGTACTATACCTAGGTAGTGTAAGGCAATGAAACAAGCCCAGGGATTCCTTTAGAAATTATAACGTTTCAAAGGAGGGGAGGATTAACCCGAAGGAGGGATACTCTGGAAAAACTTCTTGGGAGAAAATCTCTAATGACGTTGCAAAAACGGGGATCACATGAGATTCACTCTCAAGACCTTTATTCTTCGAATTCTTGTAATGAACTCTGTCGTTTCAACAAAAGAATCGCTATATGTCCCTCTCTTCGGCGCCACTGCAACAATTCAACCAATCCCGAGAGGGTATTGGCGACGGGCCAATCGCAAGGCACAGCCAATCATGTGCGACAATGGCGAATTGATTAGAACGCTGCCAATTACGAGGCGCGAAAACTAAATTTATATTTCACGGTGCTATCTAAAGCGATTAAAGGTACTATCTTATAGTAGTATATGGAAATTTTGATGATCCTACAAAAAAAGTTCAAAAAAGCTGAGATGTTAATTTTGCTTAAAAAAAGGAAGAATAAAATAAGTCTTTCTTTTTTTAAGCGTCGCTTAAATGTAGAAATTTTACTGCATCTTAATTTTACATGATAATTATTATGCAATACTTTTGCCAAGGAAAAGAATATATATAAAGATTATATTAAATTATATATAATTAAAATATATATAAATTATGAATATATTTTTATATTTTCTAAATCATATATATTCACTTGTAGATTAGATTATGAATTTTGTGCTCAAAGATCTTCTTTTACTTTACGATTGATTTGATTCTGTTAGGTTAGATGGTTTTGATTTTACAGCTGCTCCCATGGTGGCTATGGTTGCTCCACTCATGACGTTATGGCTGCCACGAGCCACGAGTTCCACACAGACAAAAGAGTAATATACATGTATTCAAAATTTTCACCTGTCATCTTACTTTTCTTCACATTTTACTTCTAATTTAATAGAAAAAAAAACAATCCCATATACACGTAAATTATTTCAGTTTGAATTCTAAAATGTTCTTTTAACAAAATACAGCATTAGCTGCACATCAAGAAATTTTGTACATATAACCTATAAAAAGAATTTCTTCATATTATGCCAAATGTTATGTGATACTTATGCTGACGCTTGAAATATTTAGAAACAGATCAGTTTCATAAGCAACGTAAGTGATGCTCTATTTCTCACACTGCCAGACTGCATTAAAAACAGAAGAGCACTTCGCATGTTCTTCCCTTCGAAGGTTTGATAGATGAGAATCCCACGTTTTTTTCGTAATGTCTTAATCGGCATCCCGATCGGGATTGCTTTTTGCGACACAGTCGGATATGTCGCGAGGGTGGAAGGAATCTCCATGCAACCTGCACTAAATCCAGACTTACGGTATCCTGATTACGTGTTTCTGAATCGCTGGACCATCCGGAATCAAGATATACAGCGCGGCGATATAGTGTGTGTTGTATCTCCCAAGGTGCCAAATCAAACCCTTATCAAGAGAGTTGTGGGACTTGCTGGTGATATTATAGGCACGCATGGATACAAGCTCTGTACCGTCCAAGTATGGATATGATATGTAGAAGTAATTATTGGATATATAACAATGAATAACAATGCTTGGACTCTAACAAATTACTGACAACAATACTAACGTAGTATTCTTATTTTAAATATTTGTAAATTAATTTTAATATGAATACAGGTACCAGAAGGACACTGCTGGTTGGAAGGAGATCACGTTGGACATTCTATGGACTCTAATACCTTTGGACCAATATCTCTAGGTTTGGTAACAGCAAAAGCTACTCATATAGTTTGGCCACCAAATCGATGGCAACAGTTACATTCTACAAAATCCAATCATGAGAGCTGTTAGTTTTGTAAAGAGATTGCAGTGGGAATTACCTGGTACTGTATGCAGGTAAAAGTTTACTCTAAAACTTTTAGAATGAATCTCACTCTCAAGAGTGAAATCTCACCCTTAAAGATTGAAAATTGAATCATTTTTTAAAGACTAGCTCAATTTTTACTCTAAAGTCAGATTCCACTCCAAGAATTTAGAGAATAATCATTGCTATTTTAACTTATAATAAAAATAGTTTACAATAGAAATTACTATGCACAGACATGGCTTAACCATAGGAGATGTTGATAACGATGGTGATAATGAATTGGTTGTTGGTACTGCTGAAGGAGAACTTTATATCTTCAAGGTAAATATATTGACGACTACTTAAAATTATGCCTTTCAAAACTATTAATAATATTTGCTCTTATATAACAGGGATCAGAATTATGGCAGAAAATCATTGGCCTTGGTCTTATAACTAGCGTAGCAATTGGAGATATTTTTAATTACGGACGTAATGCTCTAGTTGTTATCTGTGGCGATGGATGGACACATATATTTTACAGTCCCAAATCTGTTAATCCTAACAACTCTAACATACTTACAGGCCAACATAATAAAGATACAAACGAGCAAGACAATTTCAAAACAAATACTGGTAAGTCTGAGTTTTAGAAAGATATGTTTTATGAAATAACAGGAGATTTAGGGAATTCTCATAAGATATGTATGTGCAGATACAGGAAATTCTCAAAATACAGAGCATATTGACAATACTAATGAAATTAATGAACTCTCTGGGAAAATGGAATGTGTACATGTACAAAGAATCCCAACTAATACAAAAATAGTGCTGATAGCTGACGTCGACAAAGATGGTGCTAATGAGATGATTCTTGGTTTGACGGATCGTGTTGTGAGATCTTACAGATGGTCAAGTAATGCTGACTTGGAAACAGGAAAATTAGTTGGCCTAAATAAATGGGAATGCACTAATCAAATAGGAACGGTTACGTTACAAGTATGTTGTATTGAAATAAAGTCCTTTCTTGGCAGTTGTAAGCTAAAGTAATAAAATTCTATTCTATTCTATTAAAATATAGATTCCATTATTTTATTGTATAATTATTATTTATTTTTCTCTATATATTGTTATCTGGTTAGGCATTTATAACAGTACTTATGCTATAGCTTAATTATCATTTGGATATTTCTATATTATCTCTTGTAACTTTATATAAACTTATTCTATGTCATAAAATTAAATTAAATTAAATTATATATTCACTATCAATATAATATAAATTGTTTATAAATAGATAACAAAAATTTTTATTTAGCATACTGGTGATGGTACGCCAACTCTACTGGTTGCACAACCTGGTGGCACATTCATGCGAATTAAATGCAATCCTGAAGATTGTCAATCAAAGAAAAGTTCCTGCGAAGCTGTAGATTATCAGACATTAGGAATATCTAGGATGCGCAATCAAAATATTTCGACGGAGATTATTGGAGATTTAGAACCAGGAATAACGCCATTTATTTCCACCATTGAATCTAAAATGTCTAGTTACGTACCTAAAGATAAATTGCCAAAGCACAATTTCACAGACGATAGCCAACTAGACAGAAAAACCTTCAAATCTGCATCGCTCGAGTTCAAAAGAAACTATTCACAGCCAGCGTTTCGAAAAAATAGCCTGGATATGGCTGGTGAATATGGTAAAGATTTTACAACAGAAAGTCAAGGCTCAGTTAAATTTTATAATCCCGTTGAGTCTTCAAGCACTGATGAAATGGATGGCAACTTTATCGGTGGCA